CTCTAATCCAGGGCCTTGTACGTGTGAGGTGAGTGCTCTACTGCTGAGTCATAACCCCTGCCCCTATATTTATCTTTATAAAGAATATACATATATATCTTTATAAAGATGGGCAGCCAGCACCCTCCAGGGTAGTTTCCTGCTCAGAAGGTGCAAGTCACCTGAGAAAAAGAAAGTCTGAAATAACTACTAAAAAATAGAGACAGAGCCAGAAATTAGATTAAGAAAAGCACCTGACAGGTCTTCCAGTCCTGATAGGAGCTGGAACAGAATGACAAAAAATGGCTCCAGTTCTTTATTTAAGGGAGAGTACATCAGAGGCAGGGATAAAGTTCCAGTGGGAGGATTCTCGCTTCTCAGTGTGGCAGAGGTCTTGCAGTACACAGGTTGATGGAGTTGGGTAGGAAGAACATGTATTGGGCAGTCTCAAACAAGCAGGGTTGCCACTGAGAGTTCTCCATATCAGGTTTTCCTGTCCAATGGCTTCTACATCATTCTAGTTCACTCACAGTTCATGGATGGCTCTTGGCAAATACATATATGTATATATGATTATATATGAAAACAAATAAATGTACATATGCATATGTATATGATTATGAATGTATGCAAATATGTACATGAATATGTACATAAATGTGAATCAGATGATGTATATGAATATATGTGAATATATATAAATATGAATGACTATGAATATTTATATATGAATATGAATATAAATATGAATCCCAATATATATATTAATACACATATAAATAAATATATGAATATAAATATATATTTTCCAATTTCCTCTGCTCAGTATGGGGAATGGATCACCTGGCTCTCTGCTAGAGGCGGGATGTAGAAATGCATGCCTTCTGCCCCTTTATGGAAGTAGGTTCCCCTTGTGGTGGCAGGTACCTGTGTCCTTCACTCCATGAGGGGAGTAGATCCGCATGCCCTCCACATGGTGAGATGTCTAAAACTATGTATTCTATACCTATTCAAGAGAGTTAATCCCTGTACCCTTCATCTGATGAGTTCCCATTCCAGAAAATTCAAGTTCAACACCTGAAACATGAAACTGGAGAAGATATATATATATGTAAATGTGTGAATATATATATGAATATGTAGTCCCCAGTACCCTCTACTCAGTATGGGGATTGGGTCAATTTGCCCTCTGCTAAACGTGGGGAGTAGATCTCCACACCTTCACCCCATGATGGTAGTAGATCCTCGTGGAGGGAGCAGGTCGTTGTGTCCTTCATGCAGTGATGAGTGTAGATCCCTGTGCCCTCTACCTGGTGTGGAGAGAAGAACCATATGTTCTCCACCTGATCAGGAACAGAGTTAATCCCTGTGCCTTCCATTTCACCATTCCCATTCCAGAATATTCCAGTTCAAACCCTGAAGTACAAAACTGGAAGCTATATATATATGAACATACAGATCTCCAGCTTGCAAGATAGTCTGGAACTTCTAAGCCTCGGTAATCCTATGAGCCAATTTCTTGAGTCTCTTCTTGTACATGTACCTATCTATATCTATCACATTGGTTCTGTCTCTGGAGAAACCTAACTTACACACATTCCTGTATCAGGATTTGCATCAGTGCATTCCTGAGAGATTATGCATGTCCCTAGCAAGACCTGAAATAGCTTTCAGGACAAAGGTGATTCTGACTATAAGAGAATATTGTTATATTTTCACTGAGTGAAACCCTGTGGTCAATGACCTAAAGAGTATTGTCAACCCTTGAAAATTATTTAGCAATAAGCACTCAAAATAATAGATGCTGATAAACATTTCCAAGTGAGGAAATCAAAACAATAAGACCTCAAGCAATTAATATTAACCACTTATTTTGATCAATTGCTCTTACCTATTGTCTTTTGACTTTTATTTCTAACCTTTTCTAAATCACAAGGTACAAACCAGGTGTCTGACATAAGCAATACTAGGATTTACTTGGTTTGAATTCCATCTCACATCTCTTTTTCTATATGTATGTATATTAGAGATGTTTATTTAGCAATAATTTGTTGATCTAAAACTTTAGAGAAACTAACCATGATTATAAAAAAATTGATCATGAATATCAACATAAAACAATATAGCTCACGCAAGCAATGGCTTCACATAGCAGCAATATTAATGGGGCCTTGGCAACCTGGGTGGGGAGTGGTCTGCGACATTCTAAATTGGAATATGTTTGTTCAGACTTGTCATCTTCAATACTCGGTGGAGCATTCAGAGAGCTATATTTTGGATGTACCCCTGCTAGTGTCAGAGCAAAGAGAATGGTCCTTTGTTACTGGAGTTCTAAGCCAGAGGCCTGACTTTGAGGATTCAACAATCAGATCCAGCTACTCATCTCAAAAAACAAACAGAAAGGATAATGGTGAAAAGCATGAAAGGAACTTTAATCAGTGTAACTACACTGGGAAAGACAAAGAGACCGGAGACCTTAGCTCTGCCTTTGAGGTGCTGACACTGACTTTGAGGTTTCATAGACAAGGAGATGAAGGCAAGGATTGGGGGGTTGAAAGGCTGAAGACTTTCCACAGTTACCAAAGCAGGTGATCTTGATTGGGTGTGGCCTGTCCATCATTAGCTCAGGATTGGTCGGACTGGGCCTTGTGGGCAATAAGAGAATTGCTGTTGTCTGGTGCGGGGGAAGGGGAGCTTCACTCTTCAGAAGATGTTTATCAATCAGACTTACTGGTGGAATCCAAGGTGATTCTGAGGAAGGGAGACAGCTGTGAAATGGAGGCAGAGATGCTCTGTCTTTAATCCTGCTTTTAGTTACCCCTAGACATTTACAGGCAATAATTTGTAAAGGAGGAGTCTAAGCCCTTGTTAAACTTTTAGGTTCATCTTTTAAATTATCTCTTTTTTATCTCTCCTGAAGTTAGCCCAAGAGTCACCCCGAAAGCAAATCATCTGGATTTGCAATGTGATTATAGCTCTTGGTTCAGGTTCCAGAAAATGCCTGAACTACTCAGAACCGATGGAGTACGCGTAGCTAGATCTGTGCTTCCTTGAGTCTTACTCACTATGGAAAGAAGTTACTCTTTTAATTCTCCTTCTCCTTCTCCTTCTCTTCTTCTTTTTTGTGGTGCTGGGGATTGAATCTAGAGCCTTGTGTTTGCAAGGCAAGCACTCTACCAACTGAGCTATATCCCTAATCCTTTTTTTAAATTTTATTTTGAGACAGGATTTTAGGAAGTTGCCTGGGCTGGTCTCAAACTTGTGATCCTTCTGCCTCAGCTTCCAGATTATAGGCAGGCACCATTGCTGCTGGCTAAAATTCTTCTTTTAATGTGTGGGAGGATTGGTGTCTAAACAGCTCATCAGTTCATTAGTACATCTTTCCTTTCCTTCTTTTTCTGTATAGAACAACAATAATATCCTAAATTTCAAATAAATAGCATGATAGCATGTTTTCAACTAATAAGCATTAAGAATAATAAATTCTCCTCCTCCTCCTCCTCCTTCTTCTTGTACTGGGAATGAACCCAGTCCTTTCTATGTTTATTTTGAGACAGGGTCTCTTTCAGTTGCCCAGGCTAGCCTCAAACTTGTGAGCCTTCTGCTTCAGCCTCCCCAGTTCCTAGGATTACAGTTCCTGGGATTACAGGCATGTACCACCATCCCAAATTATTTCTTATAAGGATTTTTTTTAAAAATTTAAATTGTAGAAAGCATTAAAAACGAAAAACGAAGTCTAATTTTGTTCAAGTCAGCTGAGATGGAAACGGTAATCTGGCTCCGATGTTTGCTTTTTTGCAGTATGACTTAAAAAGTGACATGGTGCCATATAGGAGCTTGACTTTAAACATGGCAAAACAAGAGGAGGAGGAAAGGCACAGGCAGAGGGCAGAAGTAGAAGAGGCACTATAGGATTGATCATAATGAGAGTGGCCCGCATCTGATTGTCTTGAGTCCTTGTAAAGCTTTGCCTGAACCCTGACACATTTCATTAGGACCCAAGCAGCATTTTAACACTAATAATAATTTCTAACATATATTAAGTCCTTATTATGCCCTTACATATCTTATCAGCCTTTATATGAATTATCTCATTTAATTTTATACCAGGCAAAGGAACACTTTAGGAACCCCCAAAATCTGGATACTGGTGCTAACTCTGGCCCTTGCCCACTTGCGCCTGACCTCCTTGGCTGGGACCCATTTTCTCCTCTGCCTAGTATTCCTACCTGAATCCTGCTGGGTTATTTCTACCTCTGCTTTTCCATTTCAAACTCTTGTCCTCTAGCTCATTATCTCATTTTTACCCTTTTAGGACAACACTGCCTAGACCAACCTGCCAAGAATGAACTCCTATTGTTCAACTCTGTAACCTTCTCTTGCTCTACTGCTCCTGTGTGAAACACTTCCTTCTACAAATGGGTTCAGGCGCCAGCAATTTATTTGTAATTGAAAAAAAAATAACAATAACACTGCATATAGATGTATATGAAGAAAAAATAAGTGGTCGAGACCTTAACAAATAATTTGTTTTTAAATGCCACAGCTACGGCAACAATGCTGGAAAGTTCACAAATAGGTCCACCTAAATCTATTGTCTCTCGTTTACGTGCTAAGTTAAGAGGCTTGGATTCCTAAATTGTAAGTGAAGCAGACAGAACGTTTAAATCAGGCAGAGATGGTGGGAGGACAGCAAATTAAAAGATTGTCCTTTCCTTGGCTCCTCCCTTTGGTTAGCACAACTGTGTAGTGTTCACTTTGTCATCTTCTAAAATTCCTCCGTATGTATTTCTGGAACATTCACCAAAAACAATGACTGCATTCCCTCCTCGGGTGCTAATTCTGGATTGTTTGGGAACCCAGCTTATCTGATGGGAGTTGGGTCTCCAGACTTTGTTGGGTGAGCAGAGATGTTTTTAAAAGGGGTTGCTGTCCCTTTAAATTTTGAAAGTGAACTTGGCTCAGGAAGGCCAGCAGCTAGCTCAAGGTCCAGCCCCTAGCTCAAGGTCCAGCCCCTAGAAGAGAGAATAGCTACAGATTCTCCATCCTCAGTCTTTGCAAGGGGACGGCTGTGCCGGGCTCGGGCAGGCTCCTGGCAGCATGGCAGTGAAGCTGGGGTCCCTTCTGCTGGTCCTTGGGCTCAGCCTGGCTCAGCCAGCCTCTGCCCGACGGAAGCTCCTGGTGTTTCTACTGGATGGTTTTCGCTGGGACTACATCAGCGATGAGGCTCTGGAATCCTTGCCTGGTTTCCAAGAGATTGTGAGCAGAGGAGTAAAAGTGGATTACCTGACTCCTGACTTCCCTACCCTCTCGTATCCCAATTACTACACCCTAATGACTGGTGAGTACTGTGTCACCCTCTTGGAGGGAGGGGAGGTCTAGAGTCAAGCAGGACACCAAAGATAGACAAGAATCTGTTCTTGGTTAAGATTTTTTTCTCCCTCCACAGTTGTATTTTTTCCCCCAAATTCTCCCAAGGACCTGTTTGGGATTCTCTCAGGGTGGAAAAGAGAACTATAGCAATCAACGATATGGGGCGATTTAAAAAGTGATTATTTGTTAACACAAATCAAAGTTCTAGCTAACCCTGGGTTTCTAAGTTCAAGTGCAAGAAATAGGCAGGTCTCTATGTGCCAGTGCCAAATTCCTTCTGTCCTTTGCTATGTGCCTGTCATCCTTGAGTTATGTTAGCTGGTTTACCAACAAGTTAGACTGTGAAAATGACCCTTTGAGACTCCTCAGAGGAAAGTCCTGGGCGACTTGGAGGCGTTTTTAGGTCACACCCTTTGGTATTGCTTAGCAATGCCATTTCTTCCTCTTTTGCCTTTTTTGGGTCAGGTGAAATGACATAGAGACCAAAAGAATTGTAGAGTTGAGATTCCTCCCTTTCAACCTCCAGCATCTATAAAAAGCAGGCAAGCCAACAGATGCAACCTTGAGAAAACAAACAAAAGTCCAGCTAACCCAGACTGCCTGGGCTGGGGAAGGTGGATTTGCCTTGGGTCATGTTTAGGTGGCCTCTGTCTGGAATTGCCTGAGCTCCAAATGTGTCAATGAACCGATCCTCTGTCCGTGCAAAAGTATGTGTAGCCCTCTTTCTGCTCATGTAGTGGGACCCCCAGCTTCTGGTTTGTTTTTCAGCTAATCTTTTTAAGGGCCAGCAAGAGGTTCTCAGACAGAATTTAGCAAACTATCCAGGGAGGTTTTTAAGAATGCACTGTTATTACTGGTTATGCAGAACTTAACTATGTGCTTGGAACCCAGGGAGAACTTTGTAAATTATGTTAACAGAAAGTGGAGGAGAAGGCTGAAATGTCTTTATAGCTTTCAACAGAACACCAAAGCCAAAGGAGTCTGGAAATATGGATTGATACCCTGAACTAGGTACTCAGAACTCAAGGAGACCCTAAGAAATGATGTTAACAGAAAGGGGATGGCAATTCTGGAATTTCTGACTTTGCGTGTAGGTATTATATACACGTTTGCATAAAAATGATATACACTGATGCCCCAAATTAAAGGGGAGCGATCCTATGGAGAATTAGAGATGAAGACATGGGAAAAGAGAAAGAGATCAGACTGTGCACCAGGAAAGAATTTATTTATTGTTTTTTTTTTTTAATTTCTCCCAATAGACAAACAACGAGTCTCTAAGATAAACATAATTAACAAAAGCCTCTCTGGTCCTCACTTGGCAAGCTTCTCCCCTTGTGGGGAAGCAGTTTGCAGGCTGCTGGGTCACACATAGATGTAATTGTATGTCCCAACCCGACTTCAGTTCTGTGCAGGGAGTTTCACACACCCAGACCGCCCCCATGCCAGTTGTCCATCAGAGCCTCGCTGGGAGGCGGGATTCATAAACTGCCACGTGCAGCTTTTCTCAATTGCAGTGGAAAATGAACAGAATGCAGTTGAGAAAGGCAGACTCCAGTAAGAAAGAAAGGACCATCACAACGCCTCAGAGAAACCAAGCCCGTGACACGGCCTTTTGTGATTTAGATCTACGTTCCTGATATTGGCACAAGGAATAATTTGCACAAAGTCTCTGTCACACTGAGACACCTTCTTCTCAGGCTTTGGATATTTTCCATTGTCTATTGAGGAGAGAACAGCCCTTGATGGGACAGTTTCCATGAGTGTCTGACAAAGATCTCCCCTTCACTTTCAAACCGAGGCTGACTTGAGGAGGCCACAAGCTCTCTGTACATGTTATGTCTACATATTTTTAAGTGGAAAATATGTATAATCTGATTTGAAAGTCGGCTTGGTATATAAATTGACTTGTCCACTTTTTGTAGAAGTAATACTGTACACAGATTTGTCTAGCAGGCTCGTGTTTACTATGTACAAACATGGTTGGGTGTGATTTGTCTTGTACCTGCTGAGCAAACTCACAGTTTTGAGGCAGAATTTACAGGCGAGAAGATGGCAGGGCCTGAAACTAAAATCATCTCCACCATCCTGGAACAGACTCGGGAATCAATTTTAAATTCTTTCCCCCCAATAACCATACTTATTTTTCTACCTGATGTTGAAAAACTCCTTTTTTTAAAAAAAATAAAATATAAGGAAGAATATATCCTTTGGAAATTGTACTTAAACATATGGTTTGAGCATTTGAGCATTTTATGAACCAACAAAATTGTTATACTAGATCTTTTTGGTACCAAAAGATATGCTGTTTTAGGGTTCTCCAGAATTCACAAGAGAGATTATGGTCACACTTCATTACATGAACACTGTGTAAAAGACAGAAAAACTTTGGCGTTCTCTTTGCTACAGGATGAGGAGTGATGGGTTACTGGGGTGGGGAAATGTTGGCCTTGGAGCTAGGAGAACTTGCTTGGAGTCTTTGCAAGGAAGACTTTGGTAGGACATTACACTGCTCTGGACCTCTGTTTCCTCAGCTATAAAATAAAATGGAATGAACTGCTCAGGTCCTAATCAGGCCAGAATTCCAGATGCTATTGGATGCAGACATTAAAAGTAAGAAATGCATAGGGAACTTTAAAAACGTTAGGGCTAGTCCCTTTCTGTGCTTTGGATGTGATTTATTTTCCAAGGGTTCATGTGTTGGAGGCTTAGTCCTTTGTGTGGTGATGCTGGGAAATTGTGTGGAACCTTGAAGAGGTGGAGCCTCATGGGAGGTCTGTAAGTTATTGGGAGACCTGCCCTCAGAAGGAATGAAGGTAGCTCTGTTGGGATCTGTGAGTTCTGGTGAGAGCAAGTTGTTTACAAAAGCCTGAACCTGACCCCTGACTGTTCTCTGGCTTCCTGTTTGGAGATGTGATTTCTTCTCCCACATGGTGCCATGATGCCATTTGCCATTAGGCTCTCACTAGAGACCAAACCAATAGAGCCACCTAATCTGGGACTACTACTCTCCAGAACGATGAGGTAAATAAACATCTTTTCTTTATAAAGTTATCTAATCTCAGGTATTTTTCTATAACAACAACAACAACAAAAAAAAACAAAATCATCAGACTAATCCATTATTCTTGGGATGCCATAGGCCTTTGTGTATAAATTTATCAAATGGCTGAAACTTCCTTGAGAGGGAGAATTTCATAGGGAAGTTATGTGGATGGTGATGGGAAACCAGCAATCGTACTTGTAAGGAACCTTGGAAAACATACATCTTAGTCACTGACATGAAACCATTAGTTGTTTTCCTCAAAATATGTTTGTATTAAGACTAATGTGAACAAAATCTCCAATAGTGATCAAGAAGATCCATCAAACAATTGATTGCTGGGGACATCGAATCATCAAACAAGGCCTTCCACCCTTCAAATTGAGGAGGGAGAAGAAATAGATACCTACTAAGACTCTAAATATAGATTGACAAGGTGAAAAATAAATTTCTGTTGTTGAAGCCACTCAGTCTATGGTGTGGCAGCCTGTGCAAACTCGAGCATGAAGGATCAAGGAGTAGTTCCCCCAAATGCTGTAGAGAACTGAGAAGAGGAGAATGTCTTTGGACATCAATGTAGCATGAGGAAGCATTTTGGGTGTGGGATTTGTGCTGGGATAAACAAGCACAAATATGGTGTAAATCATTAGGTCTTAATTTTATGCATATGGTCTCTTTCTGATGAGCTGTGGGTGGATCAACTTAGTTTTAGCAAAAATAAAACCACAGTTTAGCCAGGCATGATGGTGCACGCCTGTATCCCAGTGGCTTGGGAGGCCGTGGCAGGAGGATGGTGAGTTCAAAGCCAACCTTGGGCAATTGAGCAAGGCCTTAAGCAACTAAGTGAGACTTTTTCTCTAAAAACATACCAAAAGGGCTGGAGGTGTGGCTCAGTGGTTAAGTACCCCTGGGTTTCATCCTTGGTATGAAAAAGGGAAACCACAGTTTATATGCCATTGGAATGCTTTCTGTTTTAACTGTGGATCTTTTTGTAAAGTTATTCTCTCTTTGGGGGGTAAATTCATATTTGATTTAGTGAAGTTTAACATAAAATTGGTGGAGGATCCAGTCATGGGGAAGAGAAAAGGCTGCATATATTTGGAGGCAGCACAGCTTAGTATTGTTTTGCTAAGGCTGATGGCAGCGTTTGTTTGACATTCTGAAACACTTCTGGTTAAGAAGTTGGAGAAAGTGGCCCATAAGTGTCCTGAATAGCAGGGAGAATTTTATCTTTACGGCAAACAATCCACCAGGACATGAACATATGCTGAAATAAATTTTGTATAAGATAATTCTCATCTCAACATTTTAAAACTAATAAATAAAAGACATGGAGGTGGAGTGTTTTGAGACACCCCAGAATGTCAATTCAGAGCTGAGATGGGAGGGTAGGTATCTGGAGCCTGGTTCTCTTGCAGGCTTTGAGCCGTGATCTGTGCCTGCCTGGGGTGGCCAGAATGTTGTGCCTGTGACCTGAGACCCAGGACAGAGGTCTCCCCAGGACCAGTCCAGGAGGCAGGGAGAGCCTGAATAATGATGCTTTCTGTTTTTCTTTCTTTCTTCCTCTTTTGCTATGCTGGGAATCACACCCAGGGCCTATCACATGCTAGGCAAACATTCTACCATTGAACCACGACCCCAGCCTGAATTATGGTACTTTATTAATTCTGCATGGGCATCAAAGCAAAAACCAGGATGTTAATGGCTCAGACTTAATATTTGTGCAAGTGCATTTCCTATTATGCTCCTAGAAATTACTTGGGATATAAAATCTTAGCAGATATCAAGGACCTAATTTTCTAGAGTAAGAGACTTCCAGGTATAAGTATGGTATACTTTCCCCCTACTTTTAAGAAAATATCTGATTTAAATTAAAACCAGTCATCACTTGGACCAAAGGAAATCCATATAGAAAGTACTGGACC